TCACATTGTTGACACTCCTCTTTTTATTTCATTTTCTAGACTGAGTCTACATCAGTCGTGTTCTTTGAACCCAGCAGTCCTTACTTCCTGAACACGATGGTGGTCAGTGTCGGACTCCTATTACTCGCTGTTACGTGTGGTTTGTTTTACCAGGCCTTTTGTTATAGGTCATGCTGTAAAAGAAAAAGCAAAGGTATGTCTTTTTTCAAAGTATGTCAGCAGTATCTTCGGTGTTCGATAGACCAATCGACAGGGAAATGACTGATGGGATAGAGGAGTTGGGACGATCGTTCCTACAGACGGAGAGACAGACAGACTAAAGAATTCGTGAATTATGATAATGTAACTAACGCACCTAACGTTATACCGTGTGACAAACTGAATTACCGGTATATTGACTTGGCAAATTATGAACGACTGACTGGCTGATAGACTGACTGAATAACTGACTCGCTGACTGGCAAGCTGAGCGATCCATAAGCTGACTGACAGACTGGTTAGACCATCAACCTTCTCAACAATATCACTTATTTCAGGAACCTGCAGATGTAAAATTATGAAGCAGGACATCTCTGAATCATTGGAAATATTTCATCATAGTTTTTCTCAAACATATCATCGACTGCGCGAAAGACAAATACGACTACTCCAACTTGGGATGAAAAGAAAACGGGCCGATTCCAAGGAATCTAACACGATATATGACGACGACATAATTCTTGCAAGAATGTATTAAATTTGGAGTAAGGAAGTCTCGCTACTTCAAGCATATGAGCGTGGAACATAAATGTATGACTGTGCAAAACAGCATCAGGTCCAAAAGAGATCTAATTCCAAATCGACCTGGAAAGAGTGGACAAGAAGATCCAGCTCGTGGAATGTCCACTACTAAATCCCATTTATTTATTTATTTATCCAAAAGGCTCCTTCTGCCTGAGCTTATCCCAGCTTCTGTAGCATATAAAAGCGACTAGGAGTATTTATATATCCTCTGGATGAGGTGCCAGTCTATCGCCAGTGACCATCCTCCCAACGCATTTTCTCAGGATTTTCCTTATAGTTCGCTAGCTCGTTCAAATCTTGGGTGAAAAGAGGCTCTAAGTGTGTTGATTGGCTTGCCTCAAACACAAAGCAAACAATGACTAGGGATCGGACTCCCATATAGACCAAAATTCTAAAAAAGGTGAGCACTAAGTCAACGCATCTCACACCAATTTTGGTTAATTCGATGAGAGGTAGTCTTAATTGTTTACATCATGTGGATATGACCGAAAACGCGTTCGTAAGAACATATTTTGGTCCTGTTGAGTTCATTCATGCAGAGATAAGTAAAATCACGAACATCACGTAAGAGTAAACGATTTAAGCATTAAATGTGTCAAGATTACAAAATTGTTAGATTGAAACATATTTAAAAT